AAAAAAAAAAAAAAAAGGCTGCAAATTGCATTGGGCCCACCACATTGGTGACGGCTCTCTCTTCTTCCTTCCCCACCACCGCAACCAGACAACCTCGTTCTTCACATAAACATAAACATTAAAAAATTAACAAAACAGAAAACACGTGTCTTCAACCACACACAAACCAATAACTCATTTCTCTCTCCTCTCTCCTCTCTCTTCTCTCCACCGTCAACGCAACCCCAACCGGAAAATGGACCTTGGGGCCTCCGATCCGAACCCGGTTCGGGTGAAGCGGAAAACCCTAGAAGCCGTCCTCGAACAGTGTCAGAGAGCGCTTGAACTTCTCAATGCTTCCGATGAACAACAACAACAACAACAACAAGACGACGACGACGACTCTCAGGAATCGCCTCCTTCCACGCGCCCCGATCCGGAAACGGATCAGGTCATAACTCTTTTCCCTTTCGAATTCAATTTAATTACTTGGATTTTCTATTGGTCTTTCAGCGTTGAACGTTCTCGTTAGGTTAGGTTAGGTGAAGCTCTTTTGGATATTGTGTCTTATGTGTTCGTGTCGTGCAATTCGGGTGGAGGAACTTTGCAAGGTTGTGTAGTGTATGGTTTATGTGCTGAAAAAAACACGAGACTTCTCAGAGTTTTAGGGTGTGTTTGGTAAATGATTACTTTGAAGTCAGGAAGGTTTTGGTTTCTTAATTAAAATTAGAGTTTTACTTTACAATAGTAATTTGCATTGCATAATAAAAGTTTGCATTAAATGTCAAAATATGTTACTGGGGTGGTTCAACATGGGGAAATTCCAATTTTAATTGAGAAGTAGTACAAACGCATTGTCTGATAGTGCGTTTGAGTTACTGTTTCAAAGGGGAAAAAAGTGTTCCTTTGCATTTTCAAAAGCGCTAAATTTAGAAGCAAGATCAGTGTTGGATTGGAGTTAATGTGGTGTGTTACGGTAGTTTCAATTGTTTCCCAAATACAGTATAAGTTTTGTCCTTTTTTTTGTGCTAATCCAAATAAGCAGTTTAACAAAGTTGTATTCTTGTATGTGTTTAAACTCTAGCCTCTATAACCACTAGAGTCGGCCTAGGAGATTGTTAGAGTATAATATACAAGGTCCTAAGTTCGAACTTTGTAGTTGTCATTGTAATTCTTAGTGATAAAAAAAAAAATAGACACTAGTCTCTTGATGTGGAACAACATTCTCTTGATGCAATGGGTATTGTGCATGCTCTATGATTTGTTAAGAAGGATGTTAGTTTGTTATTGGAGATTTGACTTCTTAACATGGCATTCTATATACTCTGTGCAGTTGTGTGACTTGCTCAAGTCTAGAGTTGAATGCCCGGACTTCCTTGAGAAGTTGGAGTATGCACAGGCGTCAGTTTTGCACAACTCAGCTGGTATGAACTCGGTGAAAATGTTCTGTTTTTGTCTGGGTTTTCAATTTTAGAATGCTGACGAAAGAAAAACTGCTTGGTTTTTGACAGAAGAAGGTAATTCTTGGGATTTTGTTAGCAAAAATGATCTTTGGGAAGGTGAAGATGCTGACTTAGACCAAGAAGATTACGTCCTTGTTAGACAAGAAGATATAGTGGAAGGAATTGCATGTTTCATGGCTGCGTATTTGTTGTCACTGAAGCAAACCAAGGTTCGTATCAGTTTATTCTCTTGTTATTTCAGAGGCGGCTCTACCATACCTTTGAATTTAAGGCCTAGGTATATGGTTACATTCATCATTGTAATGATACTGTTCTGCACTGAGTTGAAAAATGTGTGAAAATATAAATCTGTTGACAGAAAAACACCTTCTAAGTTCTGACATGTCTATGTGAATGAGCACTGCATATGCTTCTCAGTTAGGATGCAAATTCCATACAGTGAAAAATAGCATATATGTTTTCTGAAAGGTTGTGGGGATTGTTCCCCAACCATATGTGAAGTTGTCTTATATGTTTACTGCCATGCTATTTTTATTATTGGTTAAAATTTATTAGAAACTACAAAATTATGAGTAGAGGCTCATTAAATGACTTAGTGGGACTTGTAAAATTGTCATTTCCAACAAATTTCAACCAATAATGAAGAGTACATTTGAAAGACTGTGGTAGAGGAGAGTATGTTCTAACAAACATTTCTTTTATATTTGGGGTTTGTTTAGATAAACTTCTCTAAAAACACTTTGAGAGAAAAAAAAAAAAAGGAAATTCGAAATAATTTTTTTCATAAATTAAAACTAGCTTATGCATAAGTTAAAAACAAGATTTTGGAGGAAGCTAATAGGAGAAAAATTGTACAAATTGCTTATTCATAAGCTATGGAAATTCTTGTTTCATTATTTTTTCCTATTTTTCTTTTATAGAAATATATTTGGAGAAGTTTACATAAGCAGACTCTAATGTATCTATTTTATCTACAGTTTATGTAGTTATTAAATTGTACGATTCATGATTCAAATCACACAATATGATAAGATTTGGCTAGCTAGTGATCTGTATCATGTGAAAAATTGCAGATAACTCTAAATCTTGCATGCATGGATGAATTAGTGCAATTCCATATAACCAATATATATCACATAATTTGGTGACTCACTATTTTTATATATTTTACCTTTCTTTCACAGTTCAGTGACTCACCATTGATCACACCTTATTTGATTATTCAAATGCTTTATTTTCATTCTTATGAAACACGAGAGTTTCAGACTGCCACTCATCCTATGAAGTGTGCACTGTATTTGGCTGTTTTGTTGCTCTGTTTTCAGTCTTTTCATATTTAGGCTTCACAGACTTAGTTGTGACTTATGATTTCGTTTCTTGAGCTCTATAAATGATATATTTCAAGCAATTTGTTTTTGTGTCTTTGAATCTTGCCATTCGATAGGATTTATGATTTACAATTCTAGTTTGACAATTCATTATTTGAATTGCAATTCGATCACTACAGCAGTTTATATTCTTTCTCTAATTGAGTGCTTTGCTTTTTGCAGGATTTGACGCCAAATCAACTCCAGGATGGTGAGTCTGGTTGTTTCCTCCATAGTGATATCTTATTTTTGTTTTGTTCATAACTCCATATGTTCGAGTGAAAAATGGGGAAGTAGAAAGAAACAACTCCTTGGATACCTTTCTCATTCCAGATAAAGTTTTTTGCTCTACTTTAGACAAGTTGTTACCAAGATAAAAGAACGGGAAGGGATTTGTGACTTTTTTTGGGTATGTTTTTATTAGCTCTCAGCAAGACATTTTCTGTGAAAAAGAAAAAGGGAAAGCTTCGAAAGGCATGGGATGGGAGCAAAGTTATTTATAATGTTGCATCATGGGGAGCTACAGCCATTGGGTAAGTGGCCTTACCAAACATACCTCTTCTTTGTAAATATTAAGGAATTGATTAATGAATAATTTAGCTGATGCAATACCTTTGTAAATTGCAAAATCTTGTACCATATTTGCCTATGCAGTTGGCTAACTGTTGGTATGAATTTAATGATGTCTTGTGTTGGACACTGATTTTTGACTTCGGTTATTTTGTCAATTTGTTTTTAACTTGAGTAAAACAACAGAAAAATAAGTGGGACTGTTTTTGCTCTCTTTTGAGCTCATAGTTTCATTTTTATTGATTACTTTCATTTTTTATTCTTGACAGGATATATCAGAATCCTGTTATTGTAAGCGTTGCAAGTAAAGCATTCTGGACTTCTTGTCAAGTTATATCGAAGCTACTCTGATTTGCCAATGCAGCTTGAAGTAAAATTGGGATGTAGAAGTTTGACTGTTGTGTATTTTTTGCTTGTGCTGCAATTTAGTTTGGTTTTTCACACCCTTTGCACCAAAGATCAATTGATCATGTAGTTTGCAATGTAGTTTGATCATGTAAATATCTTTATTCAAACGTTCCGAGTGCTATTCAAATTCTTATTCACAACGTAGGCCCTAATCATAACCTTTGGCTCTCCTGCTGTACCCAACTCAGAACCCAGTTTTAATTCAAATTAAAATTGATTGAAATTATAATAATTTTTAAATTCATTTGATTTTTTAAAAAAATATTTATTTTTAATTTTATATGGTGAGTTGAGAATTAAGTTAAGTTGCAGTGGTGTTGAAAGTCATGCAATTATTATTATTGTTGTTACCACTATTATTGTTATGATGGTGATAGTGGTAACAATAATGATGCTAGTAATAATAAAGTTTAAATATATTTTTAGTCTTTCAAATTAAATTTGTTTTTAGTCTTTCAAATTTAAAATTATTTTTAGTTCCTGTAATTTTAAAAAAATTTATTTTAGTCTTTATATTCAAATTTTGTTAAGAAATTTACTAAATATTATTGTATAAAATTTATTTATTAGTGCTCTTATTAGTGTATAAAAGATCACATTAAATCTAAGTTATATTGTATAATGATCTTAATTTGTACTTTCAGATATGTTACTAGTGATCTGAGAGACTAAAATAAGATTTTTTAAAATGCTCATAAATACTTTTTAATGTTAAATAAAATATATATTAGTTACAAATTTAAAATAAAAAAATAAATCTTATAAATATTAGTGACAATCTTTTTGTAGTAAACAAATTTTGGTCACTACTAATAAAAATTATAGTGACAATTTATCATTTTGACACTAATATAAATCATATTAGTGATAAAATTAAATTTTATCACAAATAATATATTATTAGTTACAAATTCTACTTTCATCACTATTTTCTAGTCACTAAAAATCATAATTCTTGTAGTGCCTTAGGCTTAGGTCATTATTGTCATGATGAACAATGGGCAACAGTGAAGTGGCAGCATATGGATGGAAGGGAAAAGGAAATAGTGTTTTTTGTGGTACAGGAGCATCTGTGTGTGGAGTCCCAGGAAACAGAGTCCAGATGGCAGCTTTGTACAGAAAGATAAATGAGCGTAAAAAGTTAGATTGAAAGGGATAGGCATCACAATGAGACGTAGCATAAGGGCAAGAACGAGCTTTTGGGCCCTCACTCACATGTTCATCAAACACACCCACTTTCCAAAGTTTCTAAGCCTTTTCAGGGCTGCGGTCCCCTTGCCAGTTTGAAACACCAATTTCAGACCAATAACCTAATCTTCTACCAAAATATTTATGTCTCTATTTATTTGTCTCCTTCTTGCATGGATTCTAATGTCTAAAATCACACACACACATGATATACATAAAATATATGTAAGAATTACAATACCTTCAACTCTTCGTCATTAAACCGAATCGAATGGTTCTATAAGCATATATAACTTAATAAACACTATTTTTTGGGGGAAAAAGTTAAAAATAATTAAATAATAATAGATTTTTTTTCTTGATATATAAAGAGGTTTAACTTTTTCTTTTTTACTAAATTAATTTAAGTATATATTTTAAGTTAAAAAGGTATGAATAATGAATTTAATTAGTCATTAATTAAAGAATACAAGTATTAAATTATTTATTTAATTACTCTTATGAACATTATGTTTTAGTCTTTAATTATAATTAAAAATATTTTGTTTTAGTTCATATATATATATATATATAAATATAAACTTTTAAAATTATAAAGATGAAAAGGATAATTAAATATGTTATATGCAGTTGTTCAAAATAGGTTCCTTTTAAACTTTTGTCATAAGTCAAAAACCTTTCTTCCTTCTTCTGTAATATTCTCTAAGTGGAATAGAGTATTTGTAATAAGAATTAAACGCTCAAATAAGAAGATAACAATGTTACAAGTAATAAATTTAAATATGTAACTTGTGTCAATCTTATGATTAAATATTCTTCGAAGAAAACGTTATATATAATTCAGAGTAATAATAAAAATGTATATCTATTATTAATTAACAATAATGATAAATTATAGGGAGTTACTACGATACCCTCAAAGATCGAGAGGTTTCAATATATTTTTCTATGTAAACTCATAAAAGATTTAAAAAAAATTAATTTAATTATAAAATAAATAATCTAAATTATACTTATAAAATAAAAAGTAAGATAAAATTATAGAAATTAAAATTATAAGATTTCAATAATATTATAAAATATTAAAAAA